ACACAAGGCCAGCTCCCCATCACACGCCACTGCATTCTGAGCTTATCTAAGTACCATGAAGTAACATAGAAGCAGAGCAAGTCAGAAGGGGTCTCCTGGGCCATCTAGTCTGACCCCCAGCTCCAGCTGGCTCCGCTCACGACATGCCCACCATCTGCATGTCCAGCCTAACCAAGGGCCTTGCCTAATTTCTTCTCCTCCCCATGATCTCTTCCCTGGACTTTAATTCAGGTGCAAGATGTGAAGGAACGTACATGCTGCCGGAAAGAGAGATGCTTGAACTGAGAAAGGTAAACCCCAGCAACACACCTTAGCTCCCTCATCAGCAGCACAAGCGCAAGATGCAGGAAACTAACCAGAGACTTTCTCTTAATTTTCTTAACCTTTGGATTGCCTTTCAAAAGCAATTTGAAGCTTTGATAGCAATCAGATCGAATCTGAAGGGTAAAAGTGTGCAAGACAGGTTTGGCATGGCAGTAGTTTTTCCCGTGGCAACGACACAAAAGGAAAACCTGTTCAGAAGAATACTAGCCTCTGCAGCTGCCTTGCCTCTATGGCAGAGAGATGAGCAATTATGCTGTTTTGAAGCATGTGACACTGGAAATGCTTTTTGACCCGTATCAGCATTAGTTCTCCCATTTCAGTATAATTCAAATTTACAAACATCCGTACCTAATATGATTCTGCCACAAAACGGTGTGAATTGTAATTGTCTCAAAATACATATTTGAAAAGGTGTTATCTCTTTCTTCAAAATGGTATTTAAATGCCTATTTTGAGACATTAAGTCCCTTGAATTACATGATAACATCCTGAGAAGTGTTAAATCATTATTTTATCCAGTGCATTGCTAAGTTCTGACTCTAAATTGTGTCCGAGAGGTGTGGATCCAGCAATTTCAGATCAGAGTTCATGGCAATGGAGGAGGAAAATCTAGCATAAGTTGTTTAAAGAGAAACTGAAAAAGCACAGGCTCCCAGAATAATCCTGACCCCAAATGGTTCCAGGAAATTCTAGCATTTTATTTGGTGCATCACTGAATACTTGGTGAATGTGCCTCTATGAAATAATTACAATGTATAAATAATTATAAATTATAATTATAAAATAATCTTCTATTGTTCCAGGAGACCTTCTCTTTCCACCTCCTTTTGCAAAAAGTTCCAAAGAATTCATAGATTCTCCAACCTCCACTGCTCCCCCTCAGTGTTGGAAAGGAAAACATATCTTTCTTGACCATGCTAATTAAGTTATGAGAATCCAGCATTTCACCTCAACGAACTGTATCATATCAGGCACCTTCTTTTAAAAGCAAGCACTGATCATTTTTCTAGCCTAGTTAAAATCATTCACCATACCATCACGCTGAATAATTGCAACTCTGTACTATGAATAGCCATTGAACTAGCTCATTAAAAGTTTTATGGCATGTTCTGGCTCAACTCAGAGAATCCAAGAGTTAGAAGGACCTCAGTGTTTCTCTGTTTCTTGACTGTTCCGGCTTCCATGCCTGGTGGCCATCCAGGCTCGACTTAAAAGCGTCTTCGGAAGAAGAGTCCATCAGAAACAGTCTGTTCTGAACAACTCATGCTGTTTGAGAGTTCTTCCTAATGCTCAGCTGACATTTCCTTTCCTGTACTTCTAACCTTTTAGTATGGTCCCACCATCTGGAGAAGCAGATGGAGCCCAATTCTCCATCATCTATGTGCCAACCCTCAAAATATTAGAAGATTATAACAGCACCTCTTAATCTCTTCTTGCCCAGACTAATTTACCCTTTCCTTCTCCCTGTAAGCAATGCAAAGATCAGCCAGAATCCAGAACCTTGTGTTTGCCAGATTTCTTTCCCATGCTTGGCCCTGGACAAAAAATGAGCCAAGCGGAGATCAAGTCCGGGAATGCTAGTCATTTTTTGCAAAGTAAGCAATTCATTGTGCAAAACATGCGAGGTGCATCAATGAAAATATGCAGAGCCTGCAGGTTGCGTGTGGGGAAGCAGAATCTTGCTGGAATTCGCTTCCTGCCAGACGCCCACACGGTTGCTCAGCATGCAGCATTTTTAAAAGAGGAAAGGAACTGGAGTCTGGAAAGCTGAGCTGGAGCAATCCGGTGGCTTCCCACCTCCAAACCGGATGCCTCCCACATCCCTCCTTTGCAGCCGTCTCATGGACAGGCTCCAATTCGCCAGCTCCCTTCAGTACCCACAGCTAGTCCTGTACTCCAGGTAAACCTCACCTGTAGTCCTGTAGTCCAGGTAAACCTCACCAACACAGGGCAAAGTGGTGCCATTCTTTCTCATCCTCTGGATACCATGCTGCGTTCTACTGATCCAACCCATAATTGCACTAGCTCTTTGTCACTGCCCCTTCTCACAGCTCGCTTTTGTCAAGGTCATGGACTACAAGCCCCTAGATCTGTTTCCCATACACTGCCCTCAACCAACATCTGAAAGAGGTCACCCGCGTTCAAGAGATTGTAGCACTGGCTTCCTCCATCTGTTTGGAAAACAGAGAACTTCTTGGAGTTCTGGCTGAGGGATGCTCTACACTGCAGGCCTTTCTTTCTTTCTTTCTTTCTTTCTTTCTTTCTTTCTTTCTTTCTTTCTATTGAAACATGGGCAGAACTGTGTTTTTCGAGAGCTAGCAGATGTGTAGAGGCCATACCAACTTTATGCCTTTTAGACTATTTGCCAAATGCATGTTGGGGGAAGGCTGAAAAGTCTGTAGGAAATGAAACGATCCAGTGTGTGTGTGTGTGTGCGCGCACGCGCGCAAACGTTCAGGAGAGTATGAAAATAGAGCAGCCATGTTCCCAGCGCATCCTTGTAAGGCAGCTAAAAAGTATCAAATAAATAAAAGGAATTAAGAACAGCCACAGCGATAGTCACCCGTCTAACGCTTATTCTTCCAGGAGAGCTTTGACTTGGTGGCAAAAGATGAATGAGTCAGCACCAAGGGGCCCTTTCCGCGGTGCACGGCATGGAAGAGCGGGCAAAGACAGTGGAAAAGACGGGACAGCGCACCGCAGAAGGGTCTGAGGACATGTGTCACTCATTTTGACAGGCAGGCTCATTGGTGGGCTGCTGAAACTCGCTGTGGCATGGAGCAGAAGCGGGTTTTCTGACAGCGTGTGCTAAATTATTGCAGATAATTATTGCCGATATCGCCACGAACAACGCTTCACACGCTGCTGCTGAGCAATGCGCCAGGATGCTGCTGGCTTTCCAAGCCACAAGGGCACGACAAAGGAGGTTCCCCTTCTATCTTTATGGCTTTCTCTTTTTTTAGGATCAGAAAAAAAAGCACAGGGCCATCAGATGAGGGCTCAGCATAACTTCCTTCAATCATGATGGACAGAAGAAATGAAAGAGGCTTCTCAGTTAGGTTTGGAGGACGTATGGGGCAGCTAGAGTCAGGTGGCAAATCTGTGCCAAGCTAAACAGGCAAACAGGAAACAGCAGCTGTGATTGTTCTAGAAGACCCCCTGACCCTCCAATGCTGTTAGACCCCAGCACCTATTTCCCTTGACCATTGGCTATGCTGGGGTTGAAGGAGCCAAACACCTGGAGGACCAGATTCCCCAGGGAGGGCAGAACAAGGATGGACACTTTGCCCGAGAAGGGGAGTAGATTGTCCATGTTGACACAGGCTGGGTCTTCGTAACCCAACACAGCGTCACAGTTCTTGCAGAAGCAGACACACAGGGCTGCTATGGACTCTTCACCAGCTGGACTGCAGAAGGCTTTGGTGACCTGCAGCAATCTTCAAGCGGGACTCCAGGTGCTGCTTCCAAGACCAGCTCTCCTGCTCTCTCCCACATCCCCTATTGCATTGTCCTCCATCGCCAGCAGCCATTCAATGCATCCCTGCAAGCTAGCCCATGACAGCTCTTGGCCTCCAGCAGACTGGCTGACCACGACTCCATTTTCCTCTCCAACACACCCCTCGCCAAGTTCCAGCCAAAAGCAGCCTTTCTCCAGACTCCCCACCCCAAAGCTTCTTCAGCAGCCCAGCTCCCACAGCCAACCAGCTTCTAAAGTAAGTGACAAGCCAAAACAAGACAGCTCCTGCTGACAGTTAGCAGCTCCTACAAAGGAGGAGAGGAGGGAGAAGAAAGGAGCAACAGAAGACCTCCCCTGAGGCAGTGGAAATGGGCCAGTGGCCTCCAACCCTTGCAGGGAAGAACAGAAAGCAGCTGCCTGGTTTCTGACACACAAGCTCCTACGCATCTTGAGTCCAGGGTATGTGAAAGACTACACTCTCCTCCATGAGTCCGTCCGTACCCTTCCAGGGAGGCCCTCCCCGCGGTCCCACCTCCATCACGGGCATGCTTGGTGGAAACATGGAGATGGCCCTCACGGTAGCTACCCCAAGGCTCTGGAACTCCTTTCCCAAGGATTGGCACAATCCCCAGTATGCTTTTGGAGGCAGGCAAACACTTCCCTCTTCCCACAGATCTTGGAGAACAGCCTGGACCTGTGAGATTCTGCCAGGCTATTCTATTCCCTGTGCCATTTTGACTTGTGGTTCAAGCTTGGCATTGTATATTATTTTATCATCCTAGCAGACTTAATTACATTTTTAATGTGCATATTTCTATTATTGTCTTAAGTGTAAAAGCACTTGATATTGCAAGCCACCTCGAGTCCCAACACAGGGAACAGATGGAATATAAATAAAAATAGAGTCACATTCCTTCAAGCTTTCGCCATTGTGTAGAAGCTCATCCAGGAAAACAAGGACACGCACACCCTGCCCTGTCGGAGTCATATCAACAGTGGGAACTAAAGCAAACCAAGCAAGACCTGTCCAGTTCTCACATGCACCAGGAATGAGCCAAATTCCCCACAAGCCTGTTCTCGAAATGGTTTGCTACTTTGGTTTCACATACCCTTCAAAGAGGTATCCCAAAAGTAATGGAAGAAAGTAATAGAGGAATGCAATGGGGGAAAGAGATGTTTCCAGCCCCAATACCTGGCAAAGTATATAGTTATTTCCTACCTGTCGAAGCCCTTTCAAGAATTTCTTTCTTTTCCTGAGGTGTTGGCAAAAGTTGCGGTCGTTCTCCCGGTCCGAACTGCAGCGGTGATGGTACCGCCTGCCCTTTTTCCGGCCACAGGGCAATCCATTAGTAAGCACCTCCCGCTTCTTCTTCACCAGGGGATCCTGGTGCTTTTCCACAGGGTCATGAGGTCTCACTGCTACGTCCTTCTGTGCAAAGGGGGCAGAAAGAGAAGGCTTTTTAGAAGCCTGCAGATCAGCAGCTGGGGAAGTTTTGAGTGGCAAGTCCATGTTGCTTCCTTGACCGCTTGGTCCCTTTCCCCACACCCGTTTTGGGGGGCCCATCTATAGCAAGCAAAGCTGCTCACGAGGCTTTCTGGGTGGTGCAAGTGCCAAAGTAGCATCGGGTGTCAGGTAGTAGAGAAGTGTTCATACGTACGTCTAAATAAATAAATGATCGTCGTACCTCCCAGCTGCACATTTTCAAAAGCCTTCATCTGCAGTCCCTCCTCGCCTCCGTATTACACTAGATCTAGTCATTATCCCTGCCTGTATACTTCTTCAAAATACAATTTAGGCAGCCAGAGATGTGGCCGAGAGCCAGTAGGGTGCAGTGGTTAGAGTGCTGGGATGGGATGGAGGAGTGCCAGGTTACACTGGGCCACGCAGCCCCCTGAGGGGCTTTGGGGCAGCTACAGACTTTCAGCCCAACCCACCTCACAGGGTTCCTGGCGGATGGATACGATGGAGCTGTGGAAGCATAGATGGCTTCCCTATGGCCTGCAGTGGCTGATCCTGCCTCATCTTGGAAGCTAAGCAGGGTCCGGCTGGGTTAGAATATGGATGGGAGACCGAGTGTAGGACTCAATGCTTATTGTTGTAAACCGCCCCGAGAGCTTCGGCAATGGGCAGAACAGAAATGATGATGAGGAGGAGGAGGATGCATGTTTGTATCTGTAGAAGAGTGCGCATCACTTGATCTCAAGTTCAGATCATAAAGTATTTTTAATGGTCAACATCACCCAAACCATTCCAAAGAAAGCAAATGATTTTCAAAATGTGCATTCACTAAGTTATATGTATCGATACAACTCTGGATAGAAGACGATAATTTAAATCAAGGGTGGGACTTTTTTTTTCAATCAAAGAGGCCAAATTCCAGACTGGGGAAAGGTCGCAGGGCCATGACCCATCTATGGTTGAATTTAAGCCAGACCATGGCAGGTAAAATGTATTTTCTATTTTGAAGTCTACATAGGAGTAAGCAGAACAAGCCATTACATGTCTACACAGAAGCAAAGAAGACCAAGAGTATTTCATATACCAACCCCCTGAAGGTCTACTCACAAGAAAAGCACACAAGCCTCAATGTCTATTGAGAAGTAAGCTGGACTCACTGGATAACACTTTCAACAGGTTTCCACATGGCTACTCAGAAGTAAACAGGAGTGAATCATTCGGCAGTTTCCTGCCCAGATCCCACCCTTCCATTCTGCAGGCAAAAAGCACATTATAATAGCACCTCCCTGACAGAAGTACATGAGCAAACAAAGAAGAACAGTAAGAGATAAATCAGGATTTACCCAGTGGAGCAAAAGAAAAGAGGGGAAGCAATGCAAATCCCAGGAAAACAAATAGAGCGCTATGTGGAGCGAGAGGTTGGTCAGACTGCAGCCTCTAGGTGGTTGCAGTCTGCCTGGCCAGAGCATGGGCCAGTTCTCATGAACAAAACAAGCCCCCTTGAATCATGGGGCATGCCAGCTCTTTTCTTCTTGAAGGTGCAGACAAGTGCAAAGTCTTGCAATTGGGGCACAGTAATGGGCGTCATAAGTACAGGTGAGGGGACAAGTGGCTGGGGAGCAGCACTTGTGAAAGGGACCTCGGAGTGCTGCTTGGCTGCAGGCTGAACATGAGCCAGCCGTGTGATGCGGTGGTCAAGAGGGCAAACACCACCCGTGGATGCATAGCCAGAAGTGTGGCTTCTAGATTGAGAGAGGTATTGCTGCCACTCTATCCAACTCTGGTGCACCCACAACAGGAGTCTTGTGCTCAGTCCTGGGCCCCTCGTTACAAGAGGGACATAGATCGGTGCAGCAAAGGGCCACGAGGATGGTGGCTGGTTTGCAGGGGAAGCCAAATGAGGAGAGGCTGAGGGAACTGGGTCTCTTCAGCCTGGAGAGGAGACTCAGAGGGGACCTGTTAGCGACATGCAGGTACGTGAGATGCCATGCAGAGGTGGGTCATGACCTTTTTCCCCTGTGGTGGAGGGCAGGATGTGTTCCAGTGGAGCCAAGCTCAGGGAACCAAGGTTCAACTTGGATGCCAGGACATACTTCCTGATGGTTAAGACCCCCGAGGGCATCGAGTGGGCTTCTACAGGAGGTGGTTGAGGCCCCACCGGTGTGGGTGTTCAAGGACAGGCTGGACATGCACATGGAAGGCATGCCATGAGTGGAGCCGGCTGGAGCCGGGGGTCAGACTAGATGGCCCAGGAGACCCCTTCTGGCTCTGTTTCTATGAGCCTTCGGCCAGTAACTCTGAAAGCCAAACTACTCACAACACTGCTCTCCACGGGACAATCTTCTGCCAGGTGGCAGGAGCCACTAATGCAGTTCAGAGGTGAAGCCTGAGCAACAGCAGACAAAAAAAAAGAAAGCTGCAAGCTTTCTGTCTGAGATTAGGTTGAACAAAGACACACGAGCAGCTTTTGCAGCAACAAGATTGCTTTGATCCTTTTAAATGCAGAAATGTCCCTTGTTAACCTGGCCCAGAAATCCACAGAAGTTTGCAGGCTATAAAAATGTTTGCTAGCAGAAACAAATTTAAGTCGTTGCATAAATGACTGAACTGTTCTTAAACTTAGGGGATCTCAGAGGTTTTGATCTTGAAAGGTTTTGCATCCAGTGGGATGGGAGAAATGATGGAAGTGCTTTTCCTTCAAGCCCATCCAGGAAAAGGATCAGTGCTGGATATTGGAGAGCCCACTGGGTTTCCTATATCCTGGCTTCCCTCTTATAATTTATATAATTTATTTTCAATATAAATATAAATGCATGTAAATTATTTATATTAATTTTATAAATTACATTACATGATATAAAACATATAAAAATAACTTGCATGCACATTATAAGATTTCTTTTAAATGCCAGTGCAAAATGTGGAGAGGTTTGGCTTTTGAAGAGTAACTATTTCAATTAGTGAAGGGATGATGGTTCAAAAGTCAGAAATTGTGTATCTATTACAGCGCAAGCCAGATTTCACCCCTTCTTCTACATCCATCGGCCAATACTAGAAGACGCCATTGCTTGGTGTCATTCGTTTTGCATGCCGATTACAGCAAATGTCCTGACAGGGAATCGAAGAGGCTAAACAGCCGAGTACAGGGAGGAGACAAGGTTGCAGGAGGCAAACCGGTAGTCTTCATGCATTGCCCTCTCTTTCCACAAAGATTTTGGAGCAAAAACAAATTTTGTGAGCAAAAACACAGAGCTGCTAAATACAGAAGCAAGCGGAACCGGATAAATACCACCTTTTGCTCCCAAGGAACATTTGCACTCTTGGTGGTGGAATGAAGAAGGAACGCAGCAGAGGACAGCTCCAGAATTATTTTCCAAGCAGAAGACAGTTCTTCCTCTGTTGATGCCTCGGGTCCACGGAGCAACCTTCCTTGCTCTGGCAATGATCACAAAACTTGTGACAAATTTGCACACACGAGAATGATGAAAATGATCAACCAGAGGTTGGATATTAATCTCCTTTGATTTGATAAGATTCCTATTTCATCCTCAGCGGTTCGTTTGCATTTCTAATTAAAAGTGAAGGATGGCATTTCAGCTGGTCGGAAATCTTTTGTTAAGTTCCTCGTATTTTTCAAGTTGAACTTGTGCAGTCGCAAGGTAGCACTGCCGAGCTCGATGAAGCTTGCTTCCAGGGAACTAACTATGCATAGCATTCCAGTCCATGCCCCATAAAGTTAAATGCAATTTTATTCCTGGTTTGTTTTGCAGTTTTTAACCTGAGTTTTCAGTTCTTCAATCAGGCTCTCCTTCAAAAGAACCCGGGGAAGAAGCAGTCAAGGCTGTGGATCTGGGACTCAGGCGATCTGGGTTCGAGTCCCCACTCAGCCATCAAACTCGCTGGGTGACTTTGGGCTAGTCACAGACTCCCAACCTACCTCACAGGGTTGTTGTGAGGATGAGATGGAAAGGAGGAGAAGCTTGTAAGCCACCTTGGTTTCATTGCACAAGGAAGAAAAGTGGACTAGAAATGCAAGGTAATGCTAACTTTAAAATAACCAGAAATAACAGGAAAGCAAGATATTTTTATATATCCAGGGGACATGACTATTAATTCATGGGAATTAATTGGGAATGTGGGCACAGTGGCGGATGTGCCATGCATCTGAACTGCAAGGCTTACCAATGCACAACTCTATGATGGCATAGAGGGCATTCACCATGTTGAAGCTAAGCAAATCCAGGGCTGTCCTGGACTTGGATGGGAGACCCTTGGGAACCTCATGGAGCCACCCGAAGTCCTGCCAGGGGAGAAAGGTGGGATATAAATATAATAAATAAATAAATAAATAAACCCCCATATTACAAGCCAGTGGGAAATCACATTGATACCCAGAAGTCTTCATTTAGCGCCAAACATGCCACATTAGCTCAACATGAAAGACAAATGTTTGCCATTTAATTATGCCTATCCACTTATTGGTTCCGGCAGATTGAATACTGAAATCTACCACCTCTTTTGTCTTCTGGTGAATGCAAAAGTTCATACAATGCTATGTAGACATTCAGAAGTTCAATAAAGAAATGATTGCAGAGTAAAGAGGGTATTAAAGGTTAGATTTCTCCCCGAACGAGACTGAATTAAATGTTGTCCGATACCCTTACGATACGCTGCCAATATCCTTAATTCCTAAGCTATGCTTTCAGCATTTACTTATCCAGCAAGAAGAAAGCAGAGCGAGTGAAGGAGGATGGGTAGAGGGGATCAGGCTAAAGATGGTGCTTCAAAGGGATACGGTGACCCAGGTAAGATAATTCACACATTTTACTCCTCTTTGTTATTTCAGGGTGTGAAAATGGGGCAGCAAAGAAAGCTGCCTGGACAAACATTATGGATTTTGGGCAAATTTTAAACATGGTTCTGGAGGAGAGCTTTGAACTAACCACAGCATTTATTTTCTTTTATTTATT